ATGTACTTCACTGGACAACTTGCCTCTTTCCCTGCACCTGTTGTGTATTGTTCCCCCTTCTTTGCCTTTCAATTACATTACTCCCCCTCCCTAAATACAGAACATTTTCCCTATTCAAATGTCTATCCTATTTTAACTCAAATAACTTTATCAGAGCACTCAGGAGTCTCTGTTTTATCTCTTCCTTGACAAGATTATGGATCCTCTGAGGGGGCACAGATTATAGTATATTAATTTTTAAAAATCACTCACAGTTCCTAGCAGTGTTCTACAAATAATGTGGGCTAAATAAATGTTCGTAGAATTTGTTGATTTAATGAAAGTTTCTGATTTAAGTGTGAAAAATGAAATAGTAGAAGGACCAGAATCTCTGCAGTGGTTAAGGGAGAAGAACTTGCTAGAATCTGTGCCTGATGATCTTCTACCGGAATGTGGCAGACACTGTAGCTACCTAAAGGTCATCAATGGCTGAACAAGTCCTGCCTTCTCCAGGATACTTGGGTTGTTCTGGGACATTTACTCCTGCCACATCTTATCCTGGGAATCTAGGCACACCCCCTTCCTCCCTCAACCCCTCTTAGCAGAAGTGAGGAGAGAGATCATGAAACCAGACTTGTTTGGTAGCTTGTAGTGGGGAAGCAAGAACCACTTTGCACACTAGGAGAGCAGGTCTCTGATTCTGACCCCACCTTGTGAACCTGAGGATGTAGATACAAATCTTCTTTGGAAGACACAGCTAAAGATCCAATAAGTGTCTGACCAAGTTGCTGTTTGAAGTCTTAGAAGAAACCTCTTCTTCCTAACTCAACTACCCTCAGCTGCTCTGACCTGGGCATGATTCTTCAGGAGGCTGGTTTCCTTGTGTTTATGGACAGATGTTTTAGGTTCAGTTTATTAACAGGGGAGGCTAACTGGAATGGAATCATTAAGGCCAGTCACAATCACACTACCTCCTGCTTCGTGCAAATGCTCAAATTCCACTTGCTAGACAGCACTGTAGTCACCAGGGACTCCCGCCTGAGGTCTACTAGCACTCACCACTGTTTTGCACAGGTAATTGAGGTCATAGCAATCAAAAGGAGCCTGGCTCAGCCGGGCGTGGCTCAGTCATTGAGCATCGACCTAGGATCCAGGCGATTGGGGTTCGATTCCCAGTCAGGGCACATGCCCGGGCTGTGGGCTCAATCAATGACTCTCTCATCATTGATGTTTCTATCTCTCTCTCTCCGTCTCCTTTCCTCTCTCTGAAATCAATAAAGATATATTAAAAAAAAAAAAAAAAAAAAGGAGCCTTAAATGTTTTGATAGTGGTGTGTATCCTTTAACTTATTTCCCATTCACCAGGAATATGTCAATGTTGGTAAATATCAAAAGGAATTTATGACAACAGGAGGATAATAATATCCCAAGTCCTTAAATAGGGTCCTACTGTCTTAGCCTCCATTTGCCTTCTTTGGATACAAGAAAAATATTAGTGGTGTAGGATTACAAAATAATTGAAGTTAAAATCAAAATCCAATCCCTGGAAGATGAACATTTATTGACTGTACATTAAAAATTCAAAGTTTGGAGATTATTGATTTAAATGAAAGAGCTTTGAATATGTTAATTTCATTAGACTACTAAAGATCCCTCAAGCCATAAGGAAACAGAATGTCAGAGTTAGAAGGGTCCCACTATATATAAGAGGGGAGGAGATGGCCTTTCATTGTCTAATTAACTGGATTAATAATTTCTGCTCTTAACACCTCTTGGGTCTGGCCAGGCTTGGCTCAGTGGTTGAGTTGGCCTAGGATCCAGGAGATCATGGTTCAATTCCCAGTCAGGGCACATGCCGGGTTGTGGGCTTGATCCCCAGTTGGGGGCATGCAGGAAGCAGCCAATCAATGACTCTCTCATCATTGATGTTTCTATCTCTCTCTCCCTCTTCTTTCCTCTCTCTGAAATCAATAAAGATATATTTAAAAAACAAAACAAAAACCCATCTCTTGGAACCTATCACTGGAAGTCATGAGTTCCTTGTATTATTACGGGCACTGACCATCCAGCTCTGGCATACCAGGACTGACCTTGTGCAAGGAGAAAATCCACAGTTCCTAAGTGGCCTTCGGAAGCAGCCATCATTAAGGGAGTCCGGCCCTGCTTGTCTGCCATATTGACATCAGCTCCATGTGTGAGCAGAAGATCAACAATCTGCAAGTGCAGAGAAACAGGAGCCGATTATCCAGGAAGAGCTGCTGAGCACACGCAGGCATGTCATCCCCTATACTGTGTGAATCCCCACTGCAGGTTAGGGGAGTCGCCTCCACACGTAACTTTCCACTGCAAGAAGCCCCTTGAGTTCCGCACAGTACAAGTACCATGTGATTTGATCTCTGGTTCTTGCAGGGACAGCTAAATAAGAAGAATTCAACTCTGAATGCTAGATTCAGCCATTAAGTAAAAAAGAATTTAAGATAACAATGGCCAAGGTGTGGACTAAGCAATCCCATAACTAAGCTCCAACACAAGTTACCTCCTATGTCAGTGCCATTTTATTGGCTTCTAGAAGTTGCAAAACTGACTTCAGTGAATATTTATAGCTGAACTGGATACAACAGTGTGTCTCTAATAACTCTAGCAATGTTTGGCTTCTACAGCTTTTTTTCCTACTCAAATACGTCGAAGGATTATTACTAATATGCTTTCCTTTTCATCCTGAGTGTACAAATTAGCATTTACCCAGAAACCAAACATCTGAAAAGACTGCTTAACTAGAATTTATACACACCACATTTTCTTTTAGCAAGTCTCAGACACCTGCAAGTAAGTGGTTAGCAAGGATCTGCTGAGATAGGAGCCTTCCTGAGAACCTGTGGATACTGTGAAATGTTCTCTGGAAAGAGGAAACTCTATGACCAGGCCAGAGGTAGCCAGTCTTATACAACCTAGAAATAATTTTAAATGTTAATTTTCTGACATATTCTCAACTAGAATATTAATAACAAACACCCAGTTCCTCAAACCCAACGACTGCTAGACAACCCAAACTTTGTAATTGTTTTCCCCTCTACACATCAGAAGTTCCCATCTAGCACTCACTCTTACCCGCTGGCCTGGAAGTGGCTGCCCTGCTTACCTGCCAGTGGCCCTGGCGAACAGTGCTGAATAGGGGCACTGCCCCTCGGCGGTTTGGCTGGGCCACTGCTGCCCCTTGTTCCAGGAGCAGGCGACACACCTCCAGTTTGCCCCTTCCGGCTGCGGCTGTCAGGGCTAAGGGCAGAGAACACAGTCTGAAACAGGGGGCTCTTGCTGTCTCCAATCCTCGGTGTTAAACATGGCAGTATATCTGTTTGATTAATATAACTGCTACTTTACTGCCAAGAATAATGATTTTAGCTACTTGTGCCATGAAGAAGATTTTTAAAAAATGAATAAAACTACACTTAAATGGGCTCATTTATAATATATGGAGACAATTATAACAGTAAATTTACTGAAAAATCACCTTTGATCAAACTCATTTGGTTTTCTTTTTTTCCTACCCTGACTGTCTTCTCTGCTTTGACACACCTCTTTTTTGGTACCTCTTCCTAGCTACAATCCTTCTACTGGTCTATGTGTGGCTGGAATGCAGAAAGAAGGGCTTTTGCAGAGTAAGGTCTTTTTTTGAGAATTAGCTAGAAACAATCTCTGGCCAACCTCTATTTCTAGGTCCTTATACCCAAGAATCAGAGTGAGAAATTGCAGTCCATGGGCCTTGGGCCAGTTTTCATTCTTTTTCTTCATTGGTTTAGACAGACGTTTCTAGTAAGTCTGCAACCATTTTTATATGAGGAACAGAAGTGTTCAAGGTAATAGTCATATAGATGAGAAGTGTGACAAAGGCTCTTTTCTTGTGAATATAAAATGGAGTCACAGATAAAAAATAGCTGCAGTGAGTATAAGGGGGACAGCAGGAAGAAACTTAAACATTCTTCTTTCTGTGCTGTTGTCCGTTTATGATCTTTATAAGGCAGAGATTCTATGAGCGCCTCGTTTATCCTCTGAGTACTATTTCAATAGTAGCAAGAAGGATATGGGGATATACTTTCAACTAAGTTCATATGTGAACAAATATATTTTTGTCTAATTTTTCAAGGGGATTTCAAACACACAGGGTTAGTGTTTAAAGAACGGATGAGGGTAGGGAAAACTGTGAACACTGTTAGCAGATGGCAGGAGTTATACTTTTAAAGAAAGAGGATAGAGCACTTTTTCCAGATTGACTTGGAAAAGTAATGTGGGGATCAGCAGGTCCTTCCTTCATTTGGCCACCTACTCCAACGACAAGTCAGGAAAAGATAATACTTGGCAGGCACGGAGAGTATTTCAGTTTGCAAATATTGGTATCTAATGAGGAAAGCAATTGAAATTCAAATCAAATGGTCACTTGTAATTTTTTCAAGTACAAATTATAGCATTTTGTCTTTGGGCTTGGCCAAATTTATCCACAACTGACTCATGTGCAAAACCAAAATGACCTGTAATTTCCACTAAGATAAACCTTCCAGTAATCTTTTCCTTCCTCAATGATAAGAAGGGCTTATGAAGGAAAATGTGACAATTTTAGAAGATATATTCACTCAAACTAGATGGATCTACGCCTTGTCCTATGTGCATTTTCAGTTTTACTTTAGAAGTCCAAACATCATTTCTGTCCATTCCTCGCAGAAGTGAAGTGGCTTGGTGCTATCTGGGTGAGGGTCATTTCCAAGCCCTAGTGTTTGAGTACAGGTATTGATGGGTCTGATTATTTACTTGACAAAGAAGTTTTGTCTCTTACTCTTCAAATCAAAGTCAAAGCGATCTTCCCTCTTTCTCAAGTTTATATTTCTAATAGTTCAGAAAAAACAACATTTTAGTTCTTGGGTCAGAACACTACATAAGTTTAAGAACTTGACTGGACACCATCATGTTGTACATCTTAAAGTTACACAATGTTATATGTCAATTATATCTCAGTAAAACTCAGGGACAAAAGAACTTGACTGAGTTAGATACTTGGGAGGAACCATAGAACCACCTTGTTGGTACATAAAGCAAATGATTAGGAAAATTTCTAACTCCCACGTTCTGATCCCATTTAAAGTAGCTACCAGATGACAGCGCTATAGCAAACTTTCCTTTTAATGTTCTGTGTATGGGGTGAGGACAAATACATTCTTTTTCACAAAAGAATTTATAGTGCCCTGGAGAAAATGTGGACAGTATTTCAGAACCAAGCCTTTCAGCAATGATGCCAGTTCAGATAACACAGCTGAAATGCACAACCAGTGCCCATCCTGAAAGCTAAACTTATACTGTCCACTCTAAGCTGGAGTTACACTACTCTGCCTGTCCCATTTCAACCCACTGGATAACACATTTATATGAGAGAGAATGTTCCATTTGGCCTTCTTCTTTGTTGTATCTTCTCTGGTGCTTAGGTTATGACATAATTTGGCAGGAATCTCAAAGCTGATAGCTGGACATGGTCATTAACACAGCTGGCCAGTTTCATCTCAAAACAACACAACTATGTAAAATGGGATCTGTGCTTTTCAAAATCCAAGAGCAAAGAGTTGGTTCGGCTGAATTTTAGAGAAGTCTTATCAAAAACTGTTAAAACTTTGTGGAAAGAAAAAAAAAAAAAAAAGATTAAGGTAAAGCCAATTCTCTAAGACAACAAACTGATTGTGAGAGCAAGCACAGCAGTTTGGAGCCAAATCTCTTCCTGAGAGACCAGTAACAAAATTTGTTCCCTAGCTTGATGAGATTATCTGACATAAACGGTCCTTTTTCAAATGGAAACATCTAAGGAGTTTGAAGAGGCAGACAGGATGCAGCTCAGAGCTGGGGAAATAGCCAGTCTGCTTGGATGGAATGCTGACACTAAGTAGAATGCAGCAAAGCAAATGGTTCTTTGTTTCTATTTTCAACCTAAAGGATTGCAGCAGACAGGTCAAGAAAAACCAATGGGAGGGGGTGGTTGGGAAACATAACTGACCACTGCTATCCAAAACAAGAGTAATTAAACATTTACTGAGCTATCTGTCAGACACTGTCTCTGCTCTTAAGGAACTCATGGCTGAGTAAGAGTAAGAGACAAACACACACATTACTATACAGTGTGATATGTACAACAGAAATAAATCCATGAAGGGTGGTTGCATGGAGGTGGTACAGAGGAAGAAGGTCTGAGAAGGTCTCTAGAAAGAGATGACTATCTGAGCTAGATGCTGAAAGAGAGAGACTTACAGGCATTCAAAGGCAAGGAGGAGGCATGTTAGGCACAGAGAGAGCATGTATAAAGGCAATGAGGTGGGAAATAGCATGTTTATTGTGACTGGAGTAACTGGAGAAGACAGGCAATAGATGAGGCTAGAGATCATGACTGGCCTTTTCATGCTACATTACATAACTTAATTAATGTTACAGGTGGTCGCTGAAGGGGGTAAAGCAGGAAAGTGACATGAACAGACTATGGCTCAGAAAGATCACTCTGGCTGAAGTCTGGGAGATCAATCACAGAAGGGTGAGGATACAGACAAGATCCGTTAGGGTGCAGCTGCCATAATAATCTAGGCAAGAGATGATGAGGGCATGAATTAAGGGTATCTTGTTCATTCTGTGAACGGGCTTCTTTTGGGTCATGGGATGGCTCAGACCCTCCAGAGTCGCTAGAAGTTTTTAATGCTGGTCCGAATCTATGCCCGTAAGACAAAGGAGAGGAGGGAGTGGTGAACAATCTTGTCACCTTAATTGCTTTTCTTCTGGTTGTTCCATAAAAAGTCAGTGAAAACCCAGTGGGATGGGAGGGGGTCAGCCAGATGGTGAAAGCTGGATGTAGGAAGATGCTATCTGGGAGGATAAAGAGGCTGCAAAATGGGGACAAAGGCAACCAGGATAGTCTAGTGATCTGCTTTTAGAAAATCCGATATGTAAAAATTACACCTCAATATTTCACTACATGCTAAGATTAATTCACTGATTCTAAAACGTAGTTTTTTCCCTTCACATTTTAACATCTCTGAATTGGAATGCATCTTACAATTGATTATGTTGTTTAGACCAGGGTTGCAGATATGAGACCCCAACCAGGTAGCTGTAGGTCAAAGACCTTCATTCCCTATATAAGGGAAACATATGTAAGATTTTGTCTTTGGAGGAAACATCACAATTCAATGGATCATTATAAATTTTAAATGATTATGTGCTGTAAGTTAGAAAGGAATGTATACTTAGTAAATGCATCACTACAGACAGAAAAGCAACTCATAGTCTATTCTATACTAGTGGTAAGTGGCTGGAACATTTTTACATAGCAAAGGCATCATTTCCCAATTTTCTTTTAAGGTCAAATAACTTTTTATAGATCTATAAATTATATTATGAATGCATTTCATTCTATCCCATATTTAAATAGCATTTTATGTTTATAATGCTGAAAGTATTTCATATAAATATCAAGTTAAACACAATTCTCATTATAAGCAAACTGACAGGAAGCTTTGAGTTTTTACAATCTTGATATGATACATGTGTAAGACAATGTACCAACCTTTACTGCATACTTTAAAGTATGAAATGTTTTTAAAGTCCTGATACCATAAAGTTTTATTCTAATAAGCAATTCATATATATAAATATAAGTCTTCCACTTAGTTCACACCCTTCTTGAACATTTTTTAGTAATTCTTTTAAGTATAGCACTAGAATGTGTTTGATACTCATCAGTATGACTGTTAGTCTTGCAATTCTATCCATTATCACCATTGTACCACTACTTTTTTTGCTATTTCTGTGGTTATGTGTGCATGGCCTGACCACGGGAGTCTGTCGGGAGGTATGGCACTGCTGTGTGGGGAAGGCTTTGCTGACAGGAGCAGTGAATCAACATGTCCCTTCTGCAGCTCTAGGTCACAACATGCATGCTCCAGGATTGCTGATGTCCTGGCCAGTCTCTTCCTCCCAGTCTGTCCTCGGGCTTCCCTCAGGGTGAGGTCCCAGAGACAGCAGCTGTTTCCAGCTGCACATTTTCCTTTAATCTGTTAGAGGCTCTTAAGCTGCAGCTGCCTGGCATCTGCTCCCTTTGGCTCTTACAGAAGGAGGGATTGTTTGAGAAGCAAATTCCTGGGCTCTGGACCATTCTACATAATGTTCAAGAAGCCATGAAACCTATGTAAGATTTTTGCCATGGATGGAAATATCCATGGCAATTCAGTAGGTGATTATAAATTTTAAATGAATTCAAGTGTCTTTTCTTATTTTTAATAACACTATGACTCTAAACAAAACATAGTCTTCTTGTTTGGTAAATATTCCCCCTAAATTGGCCATCCCAATAGCGGTCTCCTTCTTCTGGCAAATATGGCACATTTCTGTGGTGACTCTACAGTTTTCATTGCCCTGATTTCATAAAAATACATAGAAGGTTACTAATGTTTCTCCAGATGTTGCAGTTTAGACTTGGGGGAAAGACAATAATCATTTCCTGCAAAAGTCACAGGACGAGGCTTCTGCTTGTGTAGTAAGTACTGAGCAACACAGAAATTGCTTTGCTATAGACCGAAAGATGGCACGTGGCTGTGCTTTACAGGGTGGCACCTTCATGTTGTACCCAGAGTATAACTTGCCTCATACTGTGCCAGTTTAATTGTGGCAGGTACCACTCTGGAAACAGTTGGTGAACCCAGAGATGTAGGTCAAAATGTAACCTCCTGGTATGCAACTACAGGTGGAGAGAGTTATTTTGATGGGAGAAATATTCATTGCTAACTGCTATAAGAATCACATAAAAAAAGAGAAAGGCCACAACTATTTTCTGCTCTGGTTTGGCACACTGTAAGGAAACTTTCAGTCTTTTAAAAATATTTGGAAACAAGAGCAGGGAAAAGTTTTGTTTGAAAGAAGACTCTGGTGCTAATGGTATGGGGAATCCAAAGGGAAAGAAGACTGAAAGAGGAAAATTGCTTGACTTTTTACTGTGGCTGAATTGGTCTCTAATACATCAGCCACCAGAGAGCTGCCTAAGTTATGTCAGAGAAAAAAATCAAGGTGGGAGATGCAGAGAGCATCTCCGCACAAACATGACATATACATGAGCAGAGAGAGTGACGCTCATGACAAGTACCTGTCTCTCCCCAGAGACTGTCAAAGCTGTTGATCTGTGCTCGCTCCACTTCCTCTTCATCTTTTTCTGGAAGATCAAGTAGGTAGGAGACAATCTGAAACAAGAAGTTGTGTCAGCTCAAACTTCAGGTGGAAAACTATGCTACTGACATTAGCCTGTGAGGTTTGGAAGCTACTTGGATGATGCAAGTGTTACAAAATCTCTCTCACATAGAAGGAACCAAAGTGCCTGTCCTGGCAAAGAAACCCAAAGCTGCCATGATGAGTATTTGTTTCTATCAGGTATAGTTTACATGTTTCTCTTGAACGTAATCCACATACATAGCATGTGATTTTTAAAAATTACATATTCTTCATATTTAAGTTAAGGACTCAATCCCTCATCCTCATAAAAATACCATTAAACAAAAAACCAATCAATACACAAAAACCAAAATAAATATAGTAAAAGCTTAGGGCCTGCATTTCTTCAGAGCAGAGTGATTATCTTCTTTAAGTACAAGAACTGTTTTGGGGATAATGGAAGAATGGCTGCTAACAAGAGGAATTTGACTGCAGAGAGAGTTTAAAAAAGCCTCTCAGAGATAATAAAATTCCAGTTTTACGTAACATTCGCTTGGTGATACATTAAGTCAGTTGAGGGGTAGCTGCATCACTGAAGCAACTCACACAGTGGTGAGCCGACTTGTAGTAGCCCATGAAAGCTGATTATATTTTCGGGGATTTTGAAAGCCCATTGTCAAACAAAGATGTTTATTAAACATTAAATAACAATTAAATTATATTTAAAACAAAAGTTAAATAAAATCTTGTAATTCCTGATTATTTAACTACATTTTACAATGACCTATGCTCTTCAGATTTTTATCTAATGTGTCTATATAATGAAAATATGACATAATGGTGTGCTACTGTGCATCTTTCTACAACTTTGTGTTCAGTAATGTTACACTGGTAGCTTGAAATCGGCCATGGTGGGAGTATCTACACCCTGGAAACTGGCAAACATTACAAATCAGGATTTGATTTAGTGCTAAAGCTGAATGAATATAATTTAATGAATATAATTTGCATGAGGGCAAGAGGTAGTTTAACAGTAGATCACATATCAGATTTAATGACAATAAAATTATTGGGAAAATAGTTAGTAAATTGGGGTACAAACTCCATTTATCAAATCATGGTTGAATTGCAACCATAGGCTGGCTATGACACAAATTTAGCAAACATCAACATAAGCATTCAATTAAGAGTATTGTATATTCACTATTACTTGTAAATTGTGCGCTACAGTTCTTTATTTCAGTAAAATTTATAATAAATTTAAGTACAATCATGATTTAGTTAATGACTGGGACATGTTCTAAGAAATGTGTTATGCGATTTTGTCTTTGCTTGAACATCACAGAGTGCACTTAACAAAAACCTAGGTGGTGTAGCCTACTGCACACCTTGGCTATATGGTATAGCTTATTGCTCCTACGCTACAAACCTGTATAGCAGATTATTGTACTGAATACTATAGGCAACTGTAATACAATGTTAAGTATTTGTGTATCTAAACATATCTAAAGACAGGAAAGGTACCATAAAAATACGAAATAAAAGATGAAAAATGGTGCACCTGTATAGGACACTTACCATAGTGGAGCTTGCAGGACTGGAAGTTGCTCTGGGTGAGTGAGTGGCGAGTGAATGTAAAGGCCTAGGACATTATTATACACTACTGTAGACTTTATAAACACTGGACACTTAGGCTACACTAAGTAAAAAAAACATTTTTCTTACTTCAGTAATAAGTTACTTCAATAATAAGTTAAACTTAGCTTATTATTTAAAAAAAATTTTTAAATTTATCTTTATTGTTGAAGGTATTACAGGTGTCCCATTTTTTACCCCCAATTGACCCCCTCCACCTTGTTTCCACCTCCTCCCCAGGCCTTTACCCCATTATTGTCTGTGTCCACAGGTTATGCATATATGCATATAAGTTAAGNCCCATTGACCCCCTCCACCTTGCTCCTACCCCCTCCCCAGGCCTTCACCCCATTATTGTCTATGTCCATGGGTCATGCATATATGCATATAACTTCTTTGATTAATCTCTTCCCACCCCCACCTCCCTTCCCTCTTCCCTCTGAGATATTACAATCTTTTGCATGCTTCAATGTCTCTGGGTCTATTTTGTTTGNCCTTCCCTCTGAAATATGATTGTCTGTTGCATGCATCAATGTTTTCTGGATCTATTTAGTTTGTCAGGTTTTTTTGTTCATTAGCTTCTTCTTAAAGAAGACCCTTCAACATTTCATGTAGTACTGGTCTGGTGGTGATGAACTCCTTTAGCTTTTCCTTGTCTGAGAAGCTCTTTATCTGACCTCAATTCTAAATGATAGCTCTGTTGGGTAATCTTGGTTGTAGGTTCTTGTTTTTCATAATTTTGAATATTTCTTGCCACTCCCTTCTGGCCTGCAAGGTTTCTGTTGAGAAATCAGCTGACAGTCAATCATATGGGTGCTCCCTTGTAGGTAACTAACTGCTTTTTCTTGCTGCTTTTAAGATTCTCTCTGTGTCTTTAACATTTGGCATTTTAATTATGATGTGTCCTTGCTGTGGGCCTCTTTGGGTTTCTCTTGTTTGGGACTCTGCTTCCTGGACTGGTAAGTCTATTTCTTTTACCAGGTAGGGGAATTTTTCTGTCTCATTTTTTCAAATAGGTTTCCAATTTCTTGCTCTCTTTCTTCTCCTTCTGGTACCCCAGTAATACGAATGTTGGGCTACTTGAAGTTATCCCAGAGACTCTTTACACTATCTTCGTATTTCTGGATTCTTTTTTCTTTTTGTTCTTCTGGTTGGGTGTTTTTGTTTCCTCATGTTCCAAATTGCTGATTTGATTCTCAGCATCCTCTACTCTACTGTTGATTCCCTGTAAATTATTCTTCCTTTCAGTTCGTGTAGACTTCATTTCTGATTGGTACTTTATTATGTCATTGATAGTCTCACTTGTTTCCTTAATAGTCTTAGTAATATTATTGAGCATCCTTATAACCATAATTCTGAACTCTGTATCTGTTAGCTTGCTTGGATCTATTTCATTTAGTTCCTTTTCTGGAGATTTCTTCTGTTCTTTCCTTTGTGAGATGTTTCTTTGCCTCCACATTTTGGCTGCTTCCAGGTGTTTGTTTCTATGTATTAGGTAGAGTTTCTATGTCTCCTGGAATTTGTAGAGTGGCTTTGTGTAATAGGTGTCCTTTAGGGTCCAGTGGCTCAGCCTCCCCAGTCACCTGAGCTGGGCCTTCTAGGTGCTCCCCTGTGTGGGCTGTGTGCACTGTCCTGTTGTAGTTGAGCCTTGGTTGCTGTTGGCATCACTGGGAGGAACTGATCCCCAGGCCAACTGGCTGTGAGGACCAGCTGCAACAACACCCAAAGAGCTGCTGTACTGGAAACACCCCTACGGAGCAGGATTTACTTCAGTGAAGCTTTGGTGTTCACCAAGTGTGACCCCTGTGTGTGTCACTCGTGGATGTGGTAGGGTTATAATCCAGCATGGTTGAGTGTGACCACCAGGTGCACTGTCTCTGGGGCCTCCGTGGAGGTGCAAAGTCAGCTTCTGACAGTGCCTTCCCCAGGGCCACCCAGCATGAGCTACAAAGCAAACTGTAGTTGGCTGCTCCTTGTGCTGGGCTTGGAGGTGTCCAGGAGAGGCCAAGCTATGAACCAATGCAGGCTGCCGCTAATGTCAGGCCTGGGGACACTCATCAAGCCATATGGGGCACACTGCTGCTTGTTTGAGAGATTTTAGGAAAGTCCTAAGCATGAGGCTTGAGAGGCCGCTTGCATGGAAAAGCCACTGGAAATAGCCTGGATGAGCTTGCAGGTAGGGAGGGGCGGGGTCTCCGGGAATCACCAGGGTCTCCGGGAATCACCAGGGCAGGGCCAAAGGTGTGAGTCAGGTGCTGGAGATTCAAATATGGCACCTGTCTGCAAGCTGTGTGGGGGGAGGGCTTGCCAAAGGAGCAATGGCCTCTGCCAGCTCTTCTGCCTGGGAGAAAGCTGCTCCTCCAGCTCTTGCCCCGATTTCAGGCAGGTTAGTTCCTCCCCAAGTGTCCCAGGTTCCCTTCAAGCTGCTGCCCGGCACTGGGGTTCAGGGGGAGTGCATCTGAGTCTGTGTGCGGGCCCTTTAAGAGGAGAGCCTGGGTCTCCCGCAGCCTCAGCGACACTCAGCGACAGTGCCTGCTGGTTTTCACAGCCCTAAGTTGCGGGGAAGTCTCTTCCAGGCCCTGGACCCCTGGGCTGGGGGCCTGATGTGGGGCTGGGACCCCTCAGTCCTCTGGGAAACCTCCGCACCAGGTGTGGGCCAGCAGCCGCATCTCCTGGATTCAGCCCCGATCCGCCCAGGTCTCTGCCCCTCCTGCCGGTCTCGGTGCTTCTTCAGTTCCCTGGTTGTAGGGCTTCTGATGAGCTAGATTTCAGGAGGTTCTGAGGGATGGCTGCTCTGTTTTTTAGTTGTAATTTTGATGTGGTTGCGGGAGGTGGCGGGTACAGCTATGACCTATGCTGCCTTCTTGTTCCAAACCGCTCAACCCTAGCTTATTTTTAAACTTTATAATTTAAAAAACTTTTCGACTCTTGATTTAACACTTAGCTTAAAACACTAAGTATAACTGTACAAAAATATTTTAGTACAGCTTATATAGCTTAACTAAAATATTTTTCTTTATGTCCTTATTCTATAAGCTTTTCTCAATTTTTAAAAACTAAGACACATACACATTAGCCTGGGCTCCACAGGGGCAGGGAGATCAATATCACCGTCTTCCACCTCCACATCTTGTCCAGGGGAGGGTCTTCAGGGGCAGTAACGTGCATGGAGGTGTCACCTCCTATGATAACACTGTCTTCTTCTGCATCACCTCCTGAAGGACACTGCCTGAGGCTCTTCTTAAGGACCCATTATTTTTTTTCAGAAATATGTCCATGATGGTCTGCTCGGTTTGCTTTTTTTCCATTATAGATTTGCTCATAAGCAGATATTGCACTATTAATGAAAACTTTTTGGTGTCGGGGTCCACGCTTTCAAACTTTTAAAGGAGCTTGTTGAGGTTTGCAAAAGCTTCTGCTAAACCTCTCACTGTGAATTTTCTTAGGGCTTCTTCTCTTTCTTCTGCAATTTCCTTTTCTCTTGACTCTTCTTCAGCTACATGTTCCTGTTCCAGTTCCAACAGCTCCTCATTAGTCAGTTCCTTAGGAACCACCTGTAGGAGCTCCTCAATGGCATCCTCACCCACAGCAAGGTTAATGCGTTTGCCATCTCAACTGCAGCCTTGTTGGTTTTTGCAACCAAATCCTTTGAAGTCAGGGACAAACCTCCTGAGTGTCTTCTTCCGGATGCCCTTTATATACCCCTTGGTGACATTGCCCCAAGCCAAAGCAAAGGTCTTAATGTCTCATGGATGCTGTAATCCTTCCAGAATTTCTCCAGTATCTTCCATACTTGCTTGGGCAAAGGTCCTCCTTAGGCAGCAGGCCTTAACAGCTATTATATCTCCTTGATCCATTGGTTGGATCAAAGAGGTGGTGTCTGGAGGGAGAAATACCACTTTGATATTGGGATGATCACCAATAAAAGGAGGATGTCCAGCAGCATTATCTACAATAAGTAAAATCTTGAAAGGTGAGTTATTCTCTGAACAGTACTCCATTTCACTGCCAGAGTAATTCAGGGGGCATCTTGGAAGAGGAGCTGGGTCATCCATGACTTCTTATTGCTCCTGTCTGTACACTGGCAATATGTGCTTATTGATATGCTTGAAGGCCCTGGGGTTCTCACTGTGCCAGATCACAAAGGTTTTCCATTTGTAGCCTGCAACACTGCCTGTTATCCTGTCCTTAAAAGCCTTAAAACCTGGCAGTGACTTGGCCTCCTTATGGATGAAAGTCCTTTCAGGCAAACCTTTACAGATTAGAAAGGTTTCATCCATACTGAAATTCTGGCAAGTAATTTCCTCCACAATCATCTTACCTAGAGTTTCCAAAAATTCCTCAGCTGCCTTCATATCAGCACTCACAGACTCACCACTCACTTTCACATTATGTTATGAATAACGACTCTTGAATCATTTAAACTACCCAGAGCTTGTGGTAAATTCAACTTCACAGCTGGGTCCAGCCTTTTCTTTCAACATCGCAAATAAGCGTTTTGCTTTGGCTGTGATCATCATAGTGCCGAGAGGGATACGCTTATGTGTCCGGTCTTCAATCCAGGTCACTAGAAATGTCTCCATGTCTGGAAAAGCTCTTCTTAAAACTTTTTAGTCTTGTTGCCCTCAATAAAGCAGGCCCTTTAACAGCTTCCATCACGTTGCTTTTGTTCTTAAAGACTGCAGCTATAGTGGAATGGGGCATGACTGACAGGTGAGCAATAACCAACACCGATTTTCTACCTTTGTAGTCCTTAATCACTCTTAATTTTGTTTCTAGGTCAATCACTTGATGTGTGCTCTACCTGGCAACACTAGCAGTGAATTTAGGGACCAAAATGTATAAAACAACATGAGATTAAATCAAGCACAAATGAAAATGATGTACTTGATCCATTGGTTGAATCAAAGAAGTGGTGACACGATAAACACAAGATGTGTGAGGCTGCTGCTGGAGTAACATGCATACTGTTTTATAGCAAACTCTTTTTATAAGTAGAAAGAGCTCATTCTAAAGTAACGATAAAGATACAGTTTGCTAAATACATAAACCAGTTACATATTCATTTATTTTCACTATCAAGTATTATGTACCGTACATAACTGTATCTGCTGTACTTTTATACGACTGACAGCGCAGTAAGTTTGTTTATACCGGCATACCACAAACACATGAGCAATACATCACACTACAACATTACAACGGCTATGACATCATTAGGTGATAGGAATTTTCAGCTCCATTATGATCTTATGGGACTACACTCATATATGCAATCTGTTGTTGACTGAAAAATGTCATTATGTGGTGAATGACTGTATGTATGGTCTCATTCTCTCTCCCTCCCTCTCTTCTTCTGGTCTTCCCTCCCTCCCTCCAATTCTACTATACTCTCCTCCCCAGAGTTGGTTAACATTTCCTAGCACACTACCAATTCCATATATTTTGCCACTGTATTACTGCAATCATTAATAAAAAGTTTAGCAAAAATACCGTTTGATAGTGTCTAACAGTTTACAAAGTACCTTTCATACCAACCTTATAAAAAAGAATTTATTAGACTCACTTTACTTATGGGAAACTAAGGTTCTAAGATTTTGGGTAAATTGCCCAAGGTCCAGAGCTAATGAGTAGCAAAGCTGGGACTCAAACCTGGTCCTTCTGAGATTCTAAATGTTGTGCTGTTCCCATGCCACACTGCCTACCCATGGGGATGCAGCTCAATAAATAATCCCTCTGAGCCTAGTGTCTGTTAAATAGGGGTGGAAGGATGGGGAGGAATTGCATTAGATAAATTCTAAGGTTCTTTCCACCTCTCACATTCTGTGCCCATAATTCTAGGTACCTTGGCATTTGAGAATTCGAGTGCTTTAGAGAGTCTAATCTCCCTATTCCTCAGAACAGTGATCAAAAAGCTAATTCATATTAGGGTGGCAATTTTATAATAATCCAACCCTTTTCTCCTGGTCTCCTAGGTCCTTCAACACATAGATTGAAAAAAAATAACAAAACTTGTCACCTGTTTCTTACCTCGGTATAACCCATGCTGGCTGCAGCAATGAGGGCTTGCTGGATTGCCTGGCTCTTCTTAAACACCCCTTGCTGCTGGCCAGCCATTGTCCAATCACACTGAATCAAAAACTTGACAACCTCCAGATGACCTCGGAGTGCAGCATGGACCAAAGCACACTGCCCATTCTTATCCAAGTGATCCACCTAAGGGAAGGGGACACAGAGAAATCTGTGTGAATGAAGACTTGTGGCTGTATTCGCACTCTAGTCACATCAGCACACTGCACAGGTCTGAAGACAGAGCCAGTCCTTCCCGTACCCTGAACCAATCTGAGAGCACTTAGAGAATACTCTCCTACTTGGGCTAAATCACTACTGAGCTGTAACTCAGAAAGGTGCCCCTCTGGGGAGAACCTCATTTTATAAGGTCAGGCTTTTGTTTTTATATCAAAAGAAACCAAAAAACAAAACTCCCAGTTCCAGCTTTGTTTTCCTAAGGTACATTCTCCTTTGTCCTTAAATAGTTCTTTTCTGACCAAGATTTAAAAGACTTGTAGCTCTCTTGGTACAAAAAAATGTCTTTGAAACCATGAAAGGAAAGAAAAACATTTTGAAGCTCATTTTTTTTTTGGTCTTTCAAAGCAGCAAAGTATCTTATACCATGAATTACATATCTGACCACCAAGCTTTGGCAAAGGCTGCGTCTTTCTTCCAATGTGAGGGCAGAATCCCAAAGACCTGGCCAAAATGGCTAGAGGTACTTGACGCTTAACACTAGATTAAGTTCCAAAAGCAGTTTTTACAATCTCAGTGTTGGTTTCAAGTTTAGGCTAAAAGAAGAGCCTGATTAAAGATCAATCTACCAGAAGGTCCCCAGCCATAAGCCTTTTCTGACAGGCAGGCAGATTATCTTCCAGTGGTAGTTAGAACATTTGAAACAGAAGTTCTCTATCTGATTTTCCCCAGCTTTAGGTATTCAACACGTTTACTGAATACCTATTATGTGCAAGGTACCGAGCCCTCACAGGAAATGTGTGAATGCAGGCTTGGACCAAGTTGTGTTTGATTCCAAAGTGTACAATTTTAACGATTTGCCTCCTCCTCCTCTCATGAAGCCAGAAGACAAGTGGTTTACGAAGCACTAAGTAAACAGAGGTAGCAAGTAGAGGTGACTCTTAGGACAGGTGTAGGGGATATGGAAGGTAAGAGATGGGATGGTAGCTTCTGGTTTGAAGAAGAAAGGAACATTTCTCTTTTGGGTTAGAGGAGGCATTCATAGGTTTGTAGCAACTGGGGGGAAAAGGCAGTGTACATTTACAAAATAATGAAATAAAATGTGAGAGAATGAGCAACTTAACTGAGATAAAAAATAAAGGTGGAGGCAATCGCTTTGGAAACACTTCCTTCCCTAAGGCAGAAGTAAAGGTGAGTGTAGGTAAGGATTCATAGTTTTGAGATGGAGGTACACTGAGATGAACTCAATGTTAGTAATGTAGGAGGGCAAAATAAGTTTGATAGGGTATTGAGAAAAATACAAATGATTTATACATCTGCTCTGGGAAAATGAGAGATGAAGAAAATGATAGCTGAGTAGCAGAAAGACCCAGTTGAGGTTAAAACATGAATTTATAAGGCGCAGATATCATTCTGTTTCTTGAGGTGTTCATGCCAACGAGCAGGACTGTAGAGGTGGCCCATCACTGTATCACATTAAACATCGAAGGCTCTGGGATTTCACTGAGAGTCCCAGGCCCCAGTTCTCAAAGGAGTCTCAGTAGTCCCACTCTCTTCCCTGGTAAAAACATTGGACGCCTCAGAATGAAGTCGTACATATTACTTAATATTTCATTGCAAAACCACCAAAATCCTCAGTTCGTTTTCAGGACTGAAACAAAATACCATGAGGTTACAATTTCCCCAGAAGCCTCCATTTTGAGACCAGCACTTTTCTTTTCACCAATGTTTTGAAATTGAGTTCTTTTATATCAGTGGCTCTTGGGTTACTATAAAGCAAACACATTTTTTAGAAAGGTTTTCAGAGAATTAAGACCTACTGACAGAAACACTCCAAGTGCCTCTGATCAGTTTGAGAATAAACAGAGAATCACCTTTTCCCCATACCTCTATGGTGATCTTCAAGGGTAGGGTGAGGGGGTCTGGTCACTGTTCTTATCTCCATGGCTAACTTATCTCTACACATGAAAGGCTGAGTCTGCAGGCACCACTCAGTTCAGACTTCACACTGCAGTATCCCTTCTCCTCCACTTCTCCTTCCTCACTCTGAGCTCAGTAAGAGAATTTCTTGGTTGTTAGGTAGGGACTTTTTGTGGCTGCTGATAATGAGGTTTCCTAAGTGCCCCTCAAAGGTTTTAGGGCTGTGTCCAGATGCAGGGTGGAACTGGCATGCAAACACTGGGATGTATGCAGAGCTTGTACTCCCTTTGATCTGCTCCTTAACAGGGTTTGATGTGCTCCTCCTAGATTCATGAGGTAACACAGGAGATAAGGCAGACTACAGCAGGAAAAAGATAAAGGGAAGAAAGGAGAAGCAGCAGAGCCAGGCAGCCATTACCTTGGCCCGTTTCTTGCACAGCAGCACAACGATGCTCAGGTAGCCCGCCGCTGCGGCGTAGCCCAGAGGCGTCAGGCCGCTTTCAGAAGAGGCATCCACATTGGCCCCAAACTCCAAGAGCAGGGCCACCATTTCTGTGTAACCAAGATGAGACTGGACACATAGAATTGGGGCATTATTTAAAACCTCTGTCCGGTAATTAATGTTCGCACCTCCCAAAATCAGCAGTCGGCTGACCTAGAAATATGTAAACAGAAATAATACTCAGACAAATATTAGTCACATCCTTTTAGTCATCTTTCATTATGTCATTTGGGACCCCATAATAGTGCCCAGTAGCATTTAGTAATTAATTTGTTCTATAATTGTTATCTGTTCCTTTTTCAATACCTTGCCATGGGAAAGGGATGTAAAATGTCTCTTTACATAAACTGCTTAGTAATTAGAGCAAGTGCCACCTGTACTGTAGTGATGAACATAGTCCTACTAAGTGAACTGTTGGTCAGAAAAGCTCCTACCAAAACAAAGAATACCCGAGACTGACTTACTCCCTAGAAGCAGCAAGACCTGATGCTATAGGTCAAGACTCAGCTACAGAAAGTAGAAGGTCAATAGTTTGGTCTTCAATTCACAGAATAAAATGAAACAATTTAAAATATATTAAATTATCAATAGAAGGCTAATAGGCAGTCTAAGGCAAATCAAAGATCAATTAAATAGCCACTTAAATAAATGTCCTCCTAATTTTATGGTTCTCACAGTTAATTCCTTAATCTAACATAACTCGCATGCACTTACCTTTATATTTGGAGTGTAGAGATTTCGTAAAGATGCCAATGCCATGGACAGACCTTCTGTGCTGTAGGAGATCCACAGACCTTGGAGGATGGAGGATGATACACCAACTTTTTTACTCAAACCCTGAAAAAAAAAATTTGAGACAAATCATTAGCCCAGCTAAAAAGTACCATCGGCAGGAAGTTAATGACCTCTAGGTTTGTGGTACTAATAAATGAGAGAGTAGAGCCTCACCCTAACAATGTCTGTGCCCAGCAAAACCACTGATGGGGACAAAGACTGGTTCTGTTGGAACAAGCTAAGTTAAACTGTCTCTATCTTAGTAGTCTCTGGCAACAAATCTATGTAATGCCTCTCTTCTGCTATATCTGGATGTAATCCCTCCCCTTTCTTATTCACCTTCTTGAATCAATCTCTTAAATTTAAGTTAGTAAAATATACACCGTGACACAGATAATGCAATGTGATCATTGATCTCCAGCTCATTCCTTTCCTGGGCATTTGGGGAAACTATATTTCCCAACCTTCTTTACAGTTATATGGGGCATGTGATTGAATTCTGGCTAATAAAATATGAGAGGTAATAATATCATGTCCAGGCTTGGCCCCAAACCTCCTATGTATTTCTCCACAATCTCTACTATTCTTCTTGAATGGAGGATTCTGAGGCCCTTGGAGATTTTACTGCTAAGTGGAAGAAGCCTGCCCAATGATCTGTACTGAACTGCAATGTAATTGAGAAATAAACCTTTGTTAAGTTATTGAGATTTTGCAGGTTTGTTACAGTAGCTAGCGTTCTTCACCCTGATTCCCAGTATACTTTCAGTCATTCAGAGTACCAAAGAAATTTTAAACAAGAAAACCTTAGATGTTTAGAGAAAAGCTGGATGCTCCCAGACTGTTGAGTTGTAATTTTTGCTCAAGGGAACTTGGGTGGATTTCCACTTCTGGTAATGGTGGATCTAGGTAATTTGGACAAATATTCCTGCTAAGGACAACTAGGGAAAGCTATACAAAACTTAAAAAACATCCTTCTTGAAGACATGGGAGGACTACAAATTGGAGAAGAATTTCTGGGCCAAGATCTAGGATAGAATGAAGGCCAGGAGCAGTTTAGAGCTGTCACTGGGTGTGCCTGCCAATTCTATGGAACTACCTAGGAGTACTTTTGATAGCTTTGGAAATTATGGGGCAATGAAACTATTTTGTATGATACTGTAATGGTAGATACATGATATGCATCTGGCAAAGTCCACAGAACTATACAACACAAACATTGAACCCTAACGTAAACTATGGACTTGAGTTAATACAGCAATATAGGTTCATCAGCTATATCAAATGTCCCACACCAATGCAAGATATTAATAATAGGGGAAATGTAGTGGTGGGAGTGAGTATATAAGAACCAACTGTATTTTCTGTAAACCTAAAATTGCTCTAAGAAATAAAGCATACTAATTAAAAATAAAAGCCTGGGTTATACATCAGAATAATGGATAATGATCTCTGGGAGTAACGCTCAGAAATATGTGTGTGTGTTTAAAGTTCCCCAGGAGAATCTAATGTACAGTAGTCCCCCCTTATTTGCGGTTTTGCTTTCTGTGGTTTTGGTTACTCATCATCAACTGCAGTCTGAAAATATTAAATGGAAAGTTCCAGGAATAAACAATTCATGTTTTAAATTGTGCATCATTCTGAGTAGCATAATGAAATCTTGCAGTCCTGCTCCATCCTGCTGGGATGTTAATCATCCCTTTGCCCAGTGCATCCACCCTGTACACACTACCTGCTCATCAGTCATGTTGATAGCTGCCACAGTTATCAGATTGACTGTTGTGGTAGAGCAGTGCCTGTGTTCAAGCAACCCTTATTTTACTTAATAATGGCCTCAAAGCACAAGAGTAGTGATGCTGGCAACTTGAATACATCAAAGAGAAGCCATAAACTGCTTCCTTTAAGTGAGAAGGTGAAAGTTCTCGACTTGTAGGCCCTGAGCAGAGGAGTGTGAGTTGCTGCATCTTTCAGAGACGCTAAATACAGCCTTGCTGATTTGAACATCTGAACAATCTTCATTTCAAGGAATAAAGCAAGCAGAAGCAGCTTAAATTTTTAAAAAGAATACCTTCCTAGAGTCACTTATTAGTCTCAAGCGTCATTGTTAATGTCTTCCTGCCCTAAAGATTTCCTGCTTTAACTCATTCACTTGACCACATACTGGTGGAATGGTAAGATGACTGAGAGAGAGTCTTGTTCTAACAACAGAAAATTTAAAAACAAATTATTCTAACTTCCTTTTGGAGAAGCACACATAAAAGGGGCAAACATTAGTACATGTCATGGGACCTAGGCCAGTCAAAGGAAAGAAAATTTGTTGCTGATGGCAGTCAAATCTATGATGTTTTCCTGGAGATGAACAGACATGATCAGTGACTCGTAAGTCAGGCTGTTTGTTTAGTTAGTTGATTTGGTTAAGAGCTAGAGGGAAAAAAATGGGAAAAGGAGCTGAGTAAGAATAGACCTTGGTAAATGAACTTCAATTAAATGGACCAGTAAAAAGACCTCAAAGCAGCACTGAGAGTCCCAGTGAGGCTGGAGTAGATACATAGGAAATGAGTCTGAAATATAGAGCTAGACTATAGGATTTGGGGTATTAGCTTTATTTATACCATGGACTTGCTAGTCTACTGATTTCTTCTGCTTGGTGGAGTTGACCCTTTGTTCCTATGAGGTATGGGAGGAAAGAGTTCATTTTAGTTAATAAACTCAACAAAGGTGACAGGCAGATACCATTACCAGGCAGAATGTAGCAAAAAAACAACACTCCACAAAATTAAATTCTAAGCCGATGGATTCTTAAAGAGAACTTTAGGTTCAGACAACTAGAAAAAGTGTCTTTTCAGTATTTGTAACTATTGCTCAGGCAAGAAGGGATCTCTTTTTGTCAGGGATGAATGGTAATGGAGTCCCTTCCTTAAGTATTTGTTAGAATCTAAATTTATAACACTCTACTGGTCGGTAGGAAGCTTGCTCGGTATTTCTAAACACTTCATGAAAGAAAAAGAATGAAAAAATAAATAAATAAGCACTTCATGAAGAAAAGAGGAAGTATGAAGACACAAGAGCAATCTCATCTTGGGATCTCAGCTTTGACTAAGGTATCTTAAGATCATGGCAAAAACTAACCTTGGCGGTTACTCAATGAGTTTCTTTAAGGGAAATTATTTACCAGTTTATCATCAATAACCCACTTGTAGATATCCAAGTATCTCCAATGGATTATTACTCTTCTTATCTAACCACACAAATGGCCATTTTTGGTTATAATAAAAGGAACCTGGTAAACAAAGGAAATGGTGCCTTTCATTGTAGAAAAGGGACTGGCAAACTATGGCCCAAGGCGAAATGCAGCTTTTCCACTAGTTTTATAAATCATGTTTTACAAGAATACACCACACCCAGCTATTCATTTCTGTATTGTCTCTGGTTGTTTTTGAGCTACAACGGCAGAGTGAAGTGGTTTCAACAGAGAGTCTGAACTTCAAAGCCATATTTGCCAATCACTGCTGTAGAGGATGCTAAGTAACCCCTGAAGTGAAAGGGTGGTATTACCATCTAAAATTTGTGCTTGCCCAGCAGGGCGTGGCTCAGCGGTTGAGCATCGACCTAGGATCCAGGTGATCGGGGTTGGTTTCCTGGTCAGGGCACATGCCCGGGTTGTGGGCTCCACCCCCAGTCGGGGGCATGCAGGAGGCAGCTGATCAATGACTCATCACTGATGTTTCTATCTCTCTCTCTCCCTCTCCTTTCCTCTCTCTGAAATCAATAAAGATATATTTTAAAAAATATAAAAATAAAATTTGTGCTTATTAAGTTTTGTCAGGAGGTTTTTATTAATAATTTGAACCATAAAACCTTGTATTAGATATATGTCTAGTACTTTGCATTTTATTATGTACCTTACATATTTTATAGGTATGATCCTTATATCAATCCTGACAGATACTGTTACTATTTTACAGATAAGAAAACTGAGACTGCTTAAGGTAAATGGCAGAATCTGTACTTGAACCCATGCCTTTTGATTGATGTCAAAGGATCTTCTACCCTCTAGATGTCTACTTACAGCACTTCTCCCTGGCCAATAGCTCTGTTCTGGGAAGAAATGCTATAGAACTGACCAATCAAAGGGACATTTCAGAGGGTAGCACTGAGGGAGCTAATGTAAGAACATTCCAAAATCCTTCCAGTGAACAGACCCAAACCAGTGAAACACCCTGCATCACAAACTAGACTGAAATGTCTCTGGCCACAATTCACAAACATCCCGCTTTCTTTTCATAGATTAAAAAAAAAATCTAAATGGCAATGAGAGAATTATAAAAGAATTGAAGGTGCTCAACATCATTGGTTATTAACATTAAAACCACAAGGAGAAACTACTTCATACCCACTAACATGGCTAAATTATATTTTGTGGCAGAGTGCATATGATTTTTTTAATACTAAGAAAAAATAGACAATGTCTAACAAGTATTGGCAAAGGTTTGAAAAAACTGAAACCCTCATACATTGCTGATGGGAGTGTGAAATGGTACAGCCACTTTGGAAAACAGTTTGGCAATTCCTCTTCTAGGTATATATCCAAGAGAAATGAAGACATGTCCACACAAAAACCTGAACACTGACATTGTAAATGTACTCAGTGCCACTGAGTTGTTCACTTTAAAATGACTAATTTTATTTTTTTAAATTTAAAAAGGGGAAAAAAATCTGTATCTAATGTTCATAGCAGCATTATTTACAACAGCCAAAAAGAAGAAACAATCCGAATGTTCAACTAGTGAATGGATAAACAAAATGGATTATTTGGCAGCAAGAAGGAATCAAGTATTGATACATGCTACAACACAGATGAACCCTGAAAACATCATGCTAAGTGAAGGAAGCTACACACAGAAGACCACATATTGTATGATTCCATTTATATGAAATGTCCAGAAAAGTAAAATCTATAGAGACAGCAAGTAGATCATTGGTTGCCAGAAGTTGGGGGAAGCATGTAGAGTACCTTCAAATGGGAACAAAGATTATTTTTAGGGTAATGTAAAGGTACTAATAGTGGTGATAGTTACACAACTCTAAATATACTAAAAGTCATTGACTTTTATACGTCAAATGGATGAATTTTATGGTATATAAACTATACCTCACTAAAGCAGTTAGAAGCAAAAAGAATGAAAAGGGCTCCGTAGCCAGCCAAATCTCCAGAATTACAGACCCTCAACTTCACATTTTCAGTGATTAATAACATTATATGTAATTTTTCACAAAGATGAAATAAGGAAATTTAAAATTGGAAAGAAATAGAAATTGGACATGGTACTGTTGGATAGAATTTCTAAGTGGTACTGGTTATAAGCATATAGTGTCTAACTTGCCTTTCATGACCTTCAGCTTCTGCACTGAGAATTCTAGCAGTCTGGGAGAAGCCAGAACCTATCAACAGGGAGCCCCCTGTATTTAAAAGGCCCTAAAAGTGCAGCATCAGGAAAAACATAGCCCAAGTCTACATTCTTCAGCTCGCCGTAGTGCAGGCACTTATGCTGTACACCCAAGTATTTATGGCCTGAGTCACACAGGGAGCCACTCTTATCTCAAGCAACCATGTTGTCTGTAGCAACATAAGATAAAACTGTGTCAATGACAGGGGTGTATGTTTAAAATGTAGTTCTCCATGCATTGGACAAAGTCACAGTGGGTCAAACAAACCTTCTTGTCATTCATCTGTTAACGTGGTGGTTTTTTTTATGGTACAGAAAAGACAGGCATAAATTATTTTGTATTTGATCCCAGGCAGACGGTGATGCTAAAAGCTTAAGTGTTTAAAGTGCTGATGCTTTAAAGTTAAATTTCCTATCTAACTGAAGGATAATAATCTTAGAATTTGTCGAAGTAGCAGATACTTTTTGGTCCCTCTGAAACCGGAAGGAGACACCTTGCCCGTTATTTTAGTCCCACTCTGCTCCCACTGAGGAAAGTCACTGGATAAGATAGTTTTTTTAGTACAGTGATTTATCAGTAAGACAATTATTCAAATAAAGGACCTGTCACTGTAGGTTCAGTCTGTCTATCTGATGAAGAGGCTTCTCTGGCTGTGTGCTTACATATGGGGAAGATTTGCTAGGCTCTTCGAGTTGCCTTCAACTGTCATCTTTCTCTCTGGAGAGAACTGTTTTATCTTTAACAGTATCTTCTGGAGGAAGCCCAACCCACAGAACTGTTTAAGATACCTGTATCTCTCAACCCTGAGTCAGGAAAAGTGGTCTGAAGAGATTGTAGGGACTGGAAGTAGGAGACTTCTAGCAAACTTGGGCTAGAAAAACCAGGAGAACATTTCTTCCTTGACCTTTGTGTTTTTATCCCATACTGCTATCAACACTATAAATTCCTTGAGATTAGGGGCTGTATCTTTCTTGTTTTTGCAGCACTAGTACTGAGGACAATGCCTCAGTAAGTGCTGAGTAAACAAATGCGTATGTGCACAAAGAGTGAATGACACCCCTCTTCTGGGTCCTCCATTCCAGCCTTGTGAGTGTTGAGAGATGGAAGGTGATGCTATAGAGCACTTAAAAGTTCTGAAACCACTGGGAGAAAAATTGGGATTATAATTTGAAGAGAGAATGGGGAAAGTAGCTCAAAGGAAGGTTATTGTTGGTTCCAGATAGTTTGAAAATCATAGCACTAGGAATATTAAAATCTTCACTAAAAGAATTGTAAGAGGCCCTGGCCAGGTGGCTCAGCTGGTTAGAGCATTGTCCTGATATGCCAAGGTTGCGGGTTCCATCCCCAGTCAGGGCACATACAAGGATCAACCAATGAATGCATTGATAAGTGGAACAACAAATCGATGTTTCTCTCTCTCCCTCAATTCAATAAAATACAAAAACCAAAAAAAAAGAATTTTAAGAAAAATTTGAAAGAGTAACTGCTCAGTGACTTTTTTAGAAAGTGTGAAAATCTGCAACTAACTGCTAAAACATGACTGTCCTCAGGAGAGTGTAGGTCATATATTGAATACATACGTATATACTTCTCACCTAAATGATAATATACGTACGTTTCCTGGAAGGCTTAGCAATACAGTAAACTGGGAGATGGCAAATGTGGTTTTCTTTCCAAATGCCTAGGAAGGAACCGGCCATACTTTTTAGGAGATGGACTAACTTTGCAACAAAATAATTTCAGAAAGCAAAGACTACATTGAAGTAACAGAAGCTTCATAAACACAGTGTTAAGGAAAGTCTGCTGGAGATGGAAAGAAAAAAGCCCCTAATTTCTCTAGTTACCTTAAAAATGTGTGCTTTGAGGATGTGATGTCCCAGCTCAATAGTCTGCTGTCGGTTTAGTTTTCCCTCTTGGCGGGAAAACCAGAAGGCAAGTAATGTGTGACCACTCCTGCAAAGAAAAAGAGACTTGTTTTAGAAACGTTAATGCCCCAATTCTGCTTTGGGTGGAGGCCTGTTCCGGTATAGCCATACCTCCAACGAAACTCTGTCCCATTTGACCAGTTTCTTAGGGAAGGGCACCTACTACTGGGTAAGAATGAGTATTGAAAGGTTCCTAAGTGCATTACCAGACCTTTACCCAAATCACACGTGTGGATATCACAAAATGTCACTTACAGTTAGCTTACACCCATCCCACACACAGATGGCATTAAAAGACTCATTTTTATTTTCTGTCTTTGTCAACTACTCTTATTTCACCCGTGCTTTAAAAGTCAGCGTTCCTCAGGATCTCATTTTTGGTCCTAGTCTGTCCTCTGAATTAGCTCATCCATCCTCACTCAGAGTCTTCACCACCACCTGTATCCTGTATCTTTTTCCCTAATTAGACTTCTCAGCCTTAGATCAATAAACACCTGTCTATTGGATTTCTCCACCTGGAGGTCCCAGCAGGGTACCTCAAACTCAACATGTCCCAAACTGGATTAAAATCTTCTTCACCAAGTAAGTCCTCTGATCAGCAGCTACCCTTTCCCCTCAGTCGAGAAAAAGGAGTCCTTTCTCATTGGAACTACCATTAGAGATGCTTTATACATCTCGTATAGTATCTACCACACTACTACATGCCCTCTCCTCTCCTAGACTGCAGGTTTCCTGGTGGTATCCTTTCTTCCCCATCTCAACAGATTTCCAATCTGTTATGAAAGAGAAAACCCCTTTTCTGCCTCTGCATGTTGTCTTATCTGCCCATGATGCCCAGAACTACTGTGGCCCTCTTGTAATCATATGGCAGCTGGCCTAAGACAAAACCAAAGGAAGGGCTAAACTAAGAGAATTGCAGAAAAATAGCACCTGAACCCTGACTGTACAGCACTAGAAGCTGCCTTAATTTTGGATTTCTTGTTATATGAAGTAATAAATTTATTATTTAATTCATTTGAGTTGGAATTTTCTATTTCTTCCAGCTAAAAGCATCCTAATGAAATACTCCTTTAAGTGTGAATGTATGTATGCATATGTGTGTGTTTCTGTTTACATTTATGATATATGGGTTATGTGTGTGTTTCTGTTTACATTTATGACAGAAATTCTGAGTAATTTATATTCTCCAGAATGCCTAGCACAGCGTATTGCATATAAAAATTCTCCATGGCCCAGCCAGCATGGCTCGGTGGTTGAACATTGAACTATGATCCAGGAGAATGCAGTTCGATTCGTGGTCAGAACACATGCCCGGGTTTCGGGCCTGGTCTCCGGCAGGGGGTGTGCAGGAGGCAGCCAATCAATGACTCTCTTTCATCATTGATGTTTCTAGGGCTCTCTCCCTCTCCCTTTCTCTCTCTGAAATCAATAAAAATATATTTAAAAAAATAAAAATAAAAATCCTTCATAAGTTTTTTTTGGAAGCAAAAGAAAACAGCATTAAAGAAAGGACACCGTATCACCTTTGGGATGCACCTTCTCAGCACATTGGTGCTGGTAGAACTGTGGACACAGAATTGTCTCTCTACTCCCCACCAGTTAGTGGTCAGCAGAGTTCTTTACGGAACTGGTAACACAACTTTTCTACTCCTTTCATTTGAAGTGTCGCAGAAAAGGGAAATGGGCCCAAGATCTCAGTTTCAAGTCCAATGAATTAATCCAACAGAAGGAAAAATTAGTATTTGTTGGGACACCTTCTTGAGAGGAGGCCCAAATGTCTACTGGATGGTTTTCTCTCACATTGAACACTGGCTACTCTGCCAGGTTTAACATTTGAAGATATCTCACACCAAAGTCTGAAAAGCAAACACATTCTTTATTTCTTGGTAGTTTTTTTGTTTTTAAGTTTCAGTAAAGAACCCGGAGAACAGGGGATGGGAGAGTTCCCATCTTACAGGAATCATCTCAGGGAGATTTCATTCCAATAAGATAAAAAAATTAATTCTACCATGTTCTAATCTTGAGCTTCATAGAATTTCCAAATTCTAGTGGTTATCTGATTGGATAAGATTAACCATTATGGAAGGGAAATTATTTAATTGAGAGACTGGCTCAGACAAGTGTAGTCTTCATGGAACCTGAGGATATGAACCCAGGGTTGTCTCACACTCACAAAATCTGGAAATTGCTACTGAACTTTTATTTATCCATTTAAAGCCCAATTTACTTGGTAGGCTATTTTAATAGAGCATAGGTAAGTGAGAAGATAATGAGAAGCATTTCTAAAGTGCCCTATTTCAAAGTTCTCAAAATCCTATCTAGTTATTAACACTGGTATAAGAACTATTACTTTAAGTAACTCATCCATGGCTGTACATAGTGACTGGAACTCCTGAATACAGGCCTCTGACCCACTACCCATAATTCAAGCCATTTATGAGAATCCATGCCTATCAGAATTAAGGGAAAAAGTTCATACCTCACAAGGAAACGAATTTTCAGTTAAACACAAAATTGACTTTGCCCTAGTGCTTTCATTTTACTACTATAACCAAGAAATCCTGGTAAGACATTTGCATTTCTCTAGTATACATTTCAGCTGGCTACAAGTACTAGCGCTTGCTTTGTTGTTGCTGATCAGGCACACAGGAGAAACAAGCAGCAATATAGGCCAAGGGAAAGATGAAAGAGACACTGTAGTTCATTTCTTTTTGGATGCAAGCAAATTATATTACTCATAAAAGAACGACTCTGATCAGTTCACTGGACTCAAAGCTTATGGTGTTCAGGACACAAAGGGTAAAGGCAATTTATAATATATGCTGGCATTTTCATTTGTACCTTACTGTTTTGATAAAATATGGTGCCACTGGCTAACCTATGGTCTGCATGTGTTACACTTACACTTGTCTATATTTATTTCTATTTTTCTTATCATTTTCTTACTCCTGAACTCACTTCCTTTTGACTCCCAGTCTTGCTATTCTCTAAGATTACCAGTAGCCTCTTAATTGGTTTTCTCTTAGCCTTTGATCTTGTTTCTTTCTTTTTATTTTTTCCTTCCAGCATTAGGTCAGAGTTGAAGATTCTTCCCCAGCACCGTCCCTGTCCCCATCCCCATTCCTGGATATATACGTGCTCTGACAAAAGGCAGAGAAGGGAGTATCCAGAATAGCAGAGGATAGATCCTATCTCCATTCTCATTTGCAGCCCCCCTATGTGGATTACTGGAGACAAGTGACACTCACCCTTGGACAACTGTGGATTACAAGGCAGTGAGGAACTACCCTCACATGATGATACTGTTTCCCTAGACCTCAAGTATTGAGAACTATGAAGTCTCTTAGAGAAAAAAAAAACCCTTCTGAAGCAAGACTCACCCTCCCTCCCCTCTGCCCATTTAACAGTTTGGAAGTTGAATAACTTGTTTTATATAAAACATACAATGGCACTGTTTGTTTTTCTAATAGATTTTCACTGAGCCCCCTAGGGAGATAGCTAGTCTTAAAGTTTCTATTTGTAGCACTGAAACATGCTAACAGATGGACTCAAATATTTCCAGCATGGATGTTTTCTCCATTGTTCTAGTCCTAGTCACTAATGTGTAGTCACAGAGATTTCATTAGCTCTTGGAATGACAAACTCGATATACAACACTTTAGTGTTTCAGAGAAACACCACCGAGGCGTTCTGATATTCCTCTGTGCGGTGCTCAGATGTGATAAAGTAACAGTCATAGCCAGTTGGCAAGAACTGCTTGCAATCTAAAGCCTATCTTATTTATCTTATAATTTGGGCTGAAATAATGTGTGTTGCTGTAAAACGTCCTTATATTATAGAGGTAAATGTGGGGAACTGTTCGGGAAAACCTAGTGAGAATTATGGGCAGAGACGAATAGCTACTCCCTTGCACAGTCAGGAGCTGTCGTGAAGTGGCTACTTTACCAAGGATCTGGCGTTCATGTTCAAGAGGGGTCACGGGATTGAGTTCTGGCTAATGGAATACGGGCAGAAATTATATTCATCGTTTCAGGCCTGGTCCAGAAATTTCCTTTGACTTCCACGACCTTACTGTCTCATGTTTCTCCTTCTAACTATAAAATGACCCTTGTAAATTATTTGGTTCGTAATTTTATTCTAGCATTTACATATAACTATTCTGTTATATGCTTCTAAACTTCCTGCTTTATACTCTTAACTTGGGTGATCTTGTTACATTCTATGGCTTCTGTCAGTTATTTGCTGATAACTCCCAAATCCGTAACTCTGTGTCTGAGCTCTCCCTTTTCCTATTTTCCGAAGTCATATGTCTAAATATATTTGTGCATCTTCTCTTGGAGGCAATTCATTATAAACATGTCCAAATAAGGACTCACCTTTTCCCCACAGCCGGTTCTCCCTCCTGCCTTGGCTCATGCCAGAACCCCTCCTCCATTCAGAATGCTCTATGCTGGTCACTAGCTTCACTATCTTCTGGCATTCAAGGAAAGTGTTGAAGCCACTTTTGATCCCTCCACCCTAACCTTCCACACACACATAAAAGATCAAGCGTTTTTTAGTATCTCCAAAATCTCTCTTCCATACATACCCTGCTCTCTATCCTTGCATTATAGGTCTTGGCATTCTCACCTACACTTGCTATAAACTTTGTAACCAGTATCCCTGCAGTCTCTCCTCTCCTTCAACCTATCCTCCACACTGTCAGAGCTATTTTTCACATCATCAGAGTTATCTGATCTGTCACCTCCTCCTCCTCTTCCTCCTCAAAGATATAAAGACTCCTCATCTACAGAATAAACTGTAAGGCCTTACACATGGTATTCAAGGCTTTTTTCCTAGTGACACTTCTATCATTCTTTCTGACCATGTTTCTTAATCTCTAATCACAGCTTCTCTCAATTCCCCAAAGGCACTTAGTATCTTTGCACTTGCTTTTGTTCCTGCATTACCCTTTTTTAATCTACAGTGCTCTCCCACTCCAATGCTGCTTAATAGAATCAGCTGATATATCCCTTCAAGGCTGAACTC